AGTGGGCAATCGCCGGACGTGGTGAGACGTAACAGCTTACGATATGTATATTGCTATTCAGTCTTGTCGCGACGAACTCTACGTCCTGGAAGATACCCGCGACTGAAACTGCATTTCCGAAAACACCGATTGCAGAGCCTCCGGCACCAGAGTCGGTTAACCATCCACCCGAGTTGTGTTTGATCTCTTGGGGGTCAGACGCAATGACGACGTCAATTTTCTCCTGAACCACAGCTTGGTCTAACAGGTTTTTAGCCTGCCAGCAGTGGTTCATGTTGATTTGGCGGAAGTTCAAGCTTTCGCCGGATCCGCCTCAACGAGGCTTTCTGCTTCTTTATCAACAGGCTGGTTTGCTAGGGTGTTTGGCGCATCAGTCCCCTTGTCTGCGGGACCAGCTCACGTTGGCCTGCCTGGACCTCCAGCACTGTCGAGTCTCTCTTTACTGGCGCTGGTAGCTGGACAGTCAGCTATGAGATGGCCCGCTCACTTACAACGAAAGAATTTCTTCCCCGGAAACGTCGCGGTACAAACTTTAGACATATGGCCCAACTTATAGCACCTGAAGCACCTGACCTTCTTGGCCTCAAGTAGCTTCACCTTACACCCACCAATGCCAATTTTGATGTCACCGACCACTGACAATCGGAGAGCAATATCCATGGGAGCGGTTATGATAGCAACTCTGCCGCCGCCAGTATTTTCTCGCACGGAAATTGGGGCTGAGCTCAAGCCTTTGACAGCTGAGCGAATTTCTTCAATCACCCTATCCTTCTCCAACCAATCTGCGATATTTATAACTAGAACCTTGGTGGTTCTTACCGGCCTTGAAACTTGTGCCTGGTTAGGACACCTCTACTCCTGATTCCTTGCGATTGCTCGATAACGACTCCTGACTGCTCGCTCGCGCACCGTCAGCTGCCGACTCCTGGGTATCCGACCCCCTGGAGTAAAAACAGTAAAATCAGTATTCAAACTCATCATAAAATTTAGTTTAGAGTGGCTAGGCCATCACTTTCGACGCCAGCCTCGCGCCGCCTGTCTCTTGTCTGTCTTGGGTCCTGATCTTCTAGAACACCAGGGGGATGATCGCTTCCCCGGTGGTGAGCTTGTCCGCGACTGCTTATTCGTCCATCCCGAGGGGGTGGCTTATATCGCAGCTACTCTGCATATCTGCAGGGCGTTCTCCTATCCGTAGGAGGGCTGACCCTAACCTAACTTAACCTATAATATAAGTATTCATTTATTTTTTTCAATTTTTTTTTCTATTAAATATAAGGTTTAATAACGCGCCTGGGTCATAATATATATTTATAGTGCATTGCCTACCGCATACAGCGCATAAAAATAAATACACTATACACAAATTAATATATATATATATATATATATATATATAGGTTAGTTATCGATTATGGTATATTTCTACTTTACGGGATACCCAAAATTTCGGATTTTTTCTTATGACATTGTATTTTTCAACGCTGAAAACGATATTGCAAACAAAAATTGGCGTAGACGATTAGTTTGAAGTAACAGCCTATTGAAATTTGATAGTTTTGATTAAGTAGTTTATTTTTTCAAAATATAGCTATCAGTATTATCGTTGTGCAATTAGTAACGTGGAACCACTATATTGTAGAGGGATACGAGTTCAATACCGTTATAGGGATAAATATGTTTAGCATTTCTTTTCCACTTTTTTTGTAATCTGTAAAATAATTATTTTATAATGAGGTTATAGTATCAGTACCTATAGGTCCGTTTCACAATACTAGATATTCGATGTGCAAGAAAAAATACAATTTTAATGACGATCCGGGACTTTACTCGCGTAGCGATGTTTTAAGGCGGGTTCCCACGGCGCGTGGCTCGGCGAGCCACGAGTAAAATGCGCTGGCTTGGTACACTACACGCGCCGTGGGAGCGCTCTTGCTCATCTAGGCGCGGTATAGCTCGACCAATCTCATTTCTATCCGAAAATTGTCGGTTCGATGTGTCTGCGCCAAAGTAAACGAACTGCGCATTTATACAGCGTTCCCACAGACGTGTGGTTTGGCGAGCCATAGTATATGCGTATAGTGTTTTATTTTGCAATTTGGCGGGTCCCCACGGCGCGTAGCTCGCTAAGTTACGTGCCGTGGGAATGGTGTAGTACAGTGTTTCCCAACTTCTTTTACCCGCCGAACCTTTGCAGTAGCTTAAACGTTTTGTGGAACCCCAATATTTTTTCTATAATATTAATACAGACATATGTATTGTACACTTAAATGAGTGGGTTATCGGAAACTTCCGGCACAAGAGTGTCATTAATATAAAAAAAAACAAGACGGCTTTAATATTTTATTTTGTTTGTTATCTACTATTACAATATTATAAATGTACCTACATATCAAAGCTTGAAATGCAATATTTGACTTTCATTAATTCGAAGATAGATTCAATGAGAAGATTGGAATCATTCCATAGTGTTTTTTCATAACTGTTTTTAAATCTGGAGTTATTCCTGAAAGCTGGATTTGTAAGCCGGAGCCGCATTTACTTGATTTCGAAACTTAGTCTTTGTATACGCCGAAAAGCTACAAACTACGAACCTCACATCGGGAAATGTTTCAATTCCAGTTCTATGTTCAAATCATAGTTCAAATTAAAATATTGCTAATTAATTTATATTTTCCCAAATTTCTCACAGAACCCTTCGCGCAAACTCACGGAACCCTTAGGTTCCGCGGAACACCAGTTGGGAAACACTGGTGTAGTATATTATAGGCTCGTGATATGCCGAGTACATATGTAGTCACGATACAACAACCACGCTGCGCGAAGTTCGTCGAGCCACGCACCGTGGGAATCCGCCTTTAGGTTCACATACAGAGCATCAGAGTTGGGTATTAGTCGAATAAAAAATTATTTGATTGATTATTTGAATAAAAATATATTCTTTATTCATTTATTTTTCATTTGATTATTCCACATTATTATATTCATCATTTTAATTTTTACAATTAGACGTTATTCATTATTGAGCTAGTTATTCTAGATTTTTTTTATTCATTATTTAGTTATTTATTATTCAATTATTCGTTATTCATTATTCTTAATAAGTCGTTTTTATCTCAAATGATTTATAGATAATTTAAAATTCTAACTTTATTGAAAATTGAAACTGGTGTATTTTTTTTATTGTTATATTATCTGCTACTGAAAATTTCAAAATCAAAAATCATAAATAGTATTTTATCTATGAGGGGCTAATCTAACTGTTTTAGCACTCAATATCGATACGTTATTTATCCACACACAGGGTTTTACTGGTTTAGTAACATTTTTATAATTAATTTAAAATAAAATTACTTAACCCAAAACACCATAATATGGTTAATTTTGGTATTCATAATTTAAACACGAATAATTTATTTTGTTATGTTTATCATGAGGCAACAGCAAGAAAAACGCCAAATGATGTATGCTCTTTTTTAGTTCACTATATTAAGAGTTTTGTTGATGATGATGTCGAGGAATTGCATTTGTTTTGTGACAATTGTGCTGGGCAAAACAAAAACCACGCATTACTCAGAATGATTATGGCTCTAGTTGAAATAAAAAAATTCAAAAAATGCAGGTGTTTTTTTCACAAAGAGGACACTCGTTTATGCCGTGTGATCGTGACTTTGCATTGATAAAAAAACAACTAAACAGAGTGGATCGTCTATACACTTTAGAAGACTATATAGAACTTATTTTAAAATCATCAAGAAACCCAGAAAAATGTTCAGTGTTTCTAGTTGATAAAAGTATGATTTATGACTATCAAATGTGGTTTCCACAATTTTATAATAAAAATACTAATGCATTAGAATGTTTAAGCCGTAATAAAACATTGAAACAATGTCGTACAATAGAAAAATTTTTAATTTCTAAGTACCATTATTTTGAATGTGTATTGGAAAAATGTGGAATAATTGAGGCAAGTGGTTTTATTAACGGAATAATATCAAACCATTTCAAATTGAGAAAAAAAAATGCAATGCCTATACAACTCCCAAAAACACTAGTTTATACTTCAAGCTTACCAATTCTTGAAAGCAAAATTAAAGATTTGAAGCAACTAGCGAAATATATTCCAGAGCCAGCATTGCAATCATTTTGGAATTATATATTTTCATTACAAACTGAGACTGTTACTAACCTCAAGCAAGGCAAAATAGAACATAAGATATTTATATATTTAAATTTCTAATTATTAAAAATATATCAAATATTTGTGACTCAATATTAGTATATAATCTACTGTATATTATTTAATCATGTCAATTTAACTTTTATGCATATTAAAAATACTTATTTATAAGAAAACGATTATTTTCGAAATATAAATGGTAATTTGAAGCATAAACGGCACATGTTCACAACCTTTAAGTCCTTCAGATACCTACAGTTTAATTATATTTCTTTAAGTGATTGTAGAAACATGTATACCACGTATTAAACTATATTATTCTATAAGATACAATTTGTAATTCAATTTTTTTCAAATATATTAAGTTTTTTGTGTTTTCTGAAAAAATTTAAAACTTGGACATGTGTCCTTTCTGCATTTAGCGGATTCATATATTATGTCTATAGTATAATATAGACATCTGTGTTTTGGATAAATAATTTCTTTTGATAACAAATATATTTTATTATTTGATAAGATGATGAGAAGGAGGTAGATACATTGATAATTATCCACTATGTAAATGTTATAGATACCTTGAAAATAAAATTACTACGCCATACGGCGAGTAATATTTATCGTAAATCATGAATGAAATTTGTTTTACGTGGCCAGTAGGATAGGTACTATCATAAATCATAATATGTAATCAACTACCATTTACAGACACATATCTACTGTATTTGTAACATTTTAGAATATTTTTTTTATACATCTTTATTTTTTAATTATAAAGTTTTATATATATTATTAATGTATGATTATAATTTTAACTGAATTGTAAGTTAAACTTATAAATTTAAAAAAATTTTATGTGATATATGTGAGTATAGTTTTTGTTGTTGACTTTAATTATTAATTATATATATTTTATTATTTTTTGTTATTAACATTTTTAAATATGTTCATTATAATTTTAATAGTTTTTACTGTTATTTGTTAAGAGCATTTATTGAAATAATGAAGAACAGTAACATGAAGAAACCTATTACTTATGTTTATGAATTGCCATATAGAGAACGTAAGAAATTCTGTGATATAATGGACATGAATGAAAAATGGGAAGAACTAGGTAAATAATATTTAATATGTTATCTAGTTTTAGAAATTATTTAAATATTAAATTAGTACCTAATAATCAATTATTTTGTTGTTTTTATGTTGATAATAATAATTATCTTAATACCCATATTAACTCATCGTTAGTCGCACTATAATCAAAATGGCTGAATTTTTTTACATCTTTAATAAAATATTTACATTTTATACTTCAATGATTGATACTCATATAATATACCATGAATAACATTTAGGGTGTGCTGAGTGTTAATGATTGAAATATAAAAGATAAATGTTTTTTGAAGGACCTATAAAAAGTAACAGTCCTTTTGACCATAGCACAAATAACATCAGGTAAAGTAGTATTTAATATATATAATATCAAATAGTAATTCATTTTTATTATCAATAATGATTATATTTTTTACCGTTTGAAATAATTGGTTTCAATCAAATAAGAATTTTCTATTAATTTATTTTTCCAGTAAATTATATGTTACAGCACTTATGTAGATATTGCAAACATAAATTAATTAATCAAATTTTGTATTTTTTCTATAATTTTCTAGGAGGAAATTATATGAAATTTGATAATGCTACTATTTACAAAATAAGTAAAGCTCCCATGCGTAATCATTCTCCTACCGATGAACTTTTGACTTTGTGGGGTGAACAAAATCATTCAATAATAGAACTATTTTATATTTTATATAAAATGCAACATTATCAAGCAATGGCTATACTTAAAGAGTTTGGTATGACCTTTATTGTTTATTTAAATTATATTTTGAATTGTAATTAAATTTTATTATTTATTTTGTTAGTTGATCAAAAATATCATTATGTACTTAATCAAAGTAATAATTTAAGCTTCAATAACTTTGTTAAATGTGAGAATGGAAGTAATTTACAGGTAATTTAATATTAAATTTATTTTTCTTTAATATTCTTTTTATTGTATAATATTAATTTTGAATATAATTTAAGCCTAGTCACCGAATTTCTCATTACATTTTATCTATACTATCTTCCTCTGTATCTAAAGTTCCTCCTATGGTTTGAGGACCAAACAACTAATACTGATACCGTCAAAGATTTCAAAACTGTGAATTATTCTGCCTTATCACAATTCATTAACTAATATAAATAGGAAGCTACTTTTTCCTTTCACACAACTATTAGTGCTGCTTCTGGTTTAATCGATTAATATGTTTGTTCCTAATAATACTTTCAATTTCCCTGCTGGACTTCACCTGCTCTAAGGAACCTTATCATACAGAAGAAATGTGCATATGTAGCTTTTAAACGTCCAAACTCATCTAGAGACTCCTTCAAGCTCAGAGCAAAGTGTAAGCGTTTCTTAATGGCTGTCTATCAGCTATACATAAAAACCACTCAAGAAATGTTATCTCTCAACCCATCTTTCTTCTGGAAATTTACCAAAGAACTAAACCAGAATTCAATTACTTGTAATGAGAATTTGAACAATGAGTCTTCTAACCTAAATATTCCATAAACCTCCTCTTCAAAAATTTTTCTCTGTATATCAACCCCCACAATCTTCTCAAACTCCAAAGATGGCGTTCACTCTTATGACCTATCTTCCAACTGTTAATTTTGTATTGATGATGTTCAAGTGGCTCTTATAGTCTTAATGCTATTTTTGAATGACTTTTAAATAGACGTAATATAATTATCTTACCATTTTTCTTATTCTTTAGACTATAATTTGATGAGTGAATCTTTGTAACTTTATGGAAAACTTTTTTAGTCATGCCAATTCTGTTATCAACTGTAACCCTCCTTTATTTCCATATATAGGCCTATATCTAATTTTCTTCATATTTCTAAATTGTTTGAATAAATTGAATACTCATGTATTAAAAGATCCCAAAACCACATAATTACTAATGACCAAAATGGGTGTAGAACAGAGAAATCAACTATCACCATCAGCTTTGTCTTTATGACATACATTTTGGAAAGTTTTTAATCCATTTGCCTAGTTGATGGAGTGTTCACTGATATTAAAAAAGCTTTTGACCTGGTTAATCATAGTCTTCTCATTTCAGAATTAAAAATTGAAAACCTATGGCTTTCTTGGTTTCAGTTTTATTTCAACTCATGAACATGGAATGTCAAAGTTCATGCTGTTTCTTCAAACCTATCTATTATTCCTTCAAGAGTTCTCAGAGGGAGTTTTCTCAGTCTACTTTTATTCATTTTCATTTATAAATATGATAAATACACATTTATCCTACTCTAAAGTACCGATTACCTCCTACTATAATGTGATCTCGACTCTTTCTATTTATAGACCAAATGTATTGGTCTTACTCTTAAGCCGTGCTATGGCTTTTAGTAGAAACAATTTTTCACTCTCCACCCATCCATCCATACATCTGTCCCATGTCTCCGTTCCCTCTACATTACTTTGGTTTGCTCTATTTCGGACACAGCTTTTATGCTTAAAGTTGACCACAGTCCTCATGAATACTCTCCTATTAGCTTATTACTAAATATCCTTTCAATTATTTCTTAACCTCTTGAAGCAGACATTAATTTGATCTCCTCTTTGCTAAATGGTACAATCTATGCTTCAATCTACTATCCTCCAACATGTTCTGTGTCCCGATTTGTGAAACTAAAACTCACTCTTTATTCCACCTCTTTTCTCACTGCACAAATTATAGCTACAATCACTTTCTCCATAGTATGCTTCGTATTCACAACAACTCATCGATTTTTTATTTTAAATATTAACAAATTAATTGTAATATTATCTCAGGTTTATTGGCCTCTATTAAATATGTTTATTATTAAACCTTAGCTTATTATCCATTTGATTATTATTTATAAACAATATGTGTATGTTACATATAAAATATAAATGTCCTAATAATTTTAAATATCTCATGTAATTGCTGTCTCACGTTAAATAATAAAATTAAATAAATCTTTGAATTCTTTTTAACTTAAAAATAAATAAATTTATTGAACAATAAACATTTGTATAAATATTTTGAATTTATCTACTTATTGTACTAATTTTTAAACTTAGTTTACACAGAATGTTGGTAATCATATTCAATTTAATTCTGACGGTAATCAAAGGAGAGATATTAATTTACAACATGAAGATTTAAATACATTAGGCAATGCAAATAAAAACATCATCTCGGAGTCATCTGTTATGCTCTCATTTGCTGAAGCATGTACACCTTTGATAACATATAAAGAATTAGAATTAGCAACCAACTATTGGAGTAATAGTTGTATTTTGGGGAAAGGTGGTTTTGGAGTTGTTTTTAAAGGAATATGGAAAAACACCGCAGTTGCTGTCAAACGTATCGAACCTCGGGTTACTAAATAATTAATTACATAAATTAAATGATTTATTTAGTTTTTAGTAATAATGTAATTAATTAATTTTTAGAAAGGAGCAGATAAAAAATTTGATAATTTAGATGCTCAAAGAGAATCTTTATTAGAACTTCAATATTTAAGCTCTTGTCGACATGACAATATTTTACCTCTTTATGGATTTAGTATTGGTGGTGAAAAACCATGTTTAGTTTTTCAATATATGATTAATGGATCCCTTGAGGATAGATTACAATGTCGGGTGTGTTATAAACATATTATTAATTTTTTTATTACTTAAGTATAATTTTAACTCTTACATTAAAGATAGTTAAAATTAAGCTCATAATAAATAATTTTTAGAATGGAACTGAACCTTTAATATGGTACATTCGTTTTAAAATTGCAACAGGAACAGCTAGAGGATTGCAGTACTTACATAAAATGGATAAACCATTAATTCATGGTGATATTAAAAGGTATTTTCTTATTTATAATTTTGTATTTATTACTAATTTTATTTAAATTATTGTAATAGTGGAAATATTCTTTTGGATCAATATTTTGAACCACGAATTGGTGACTTTGGATTGGCTCGTGAAGGACCTCTTCAAGAATACACTCATGTGGACGTTACCCATGTTTATGGAACAAAGCCATACCTGCCAGATGAGTTTTTGAGAGGCAAAAAATTTTCCACTAAAGTTGATACTTATAGTTTTGGAGTGGTATGTTTGTTAATTAATTTCCAGGCCTCTCCTAAGTAGAAGTGTAAAATTTTTGTAGTTTTTGTTGTACCTAGAATATTTGATTATTTTTTATTTATAATTTGTCATTTAGTTAATGAATAGGACTTAGATCTTAGAAACTCAATCTTTTCAAATCTGAAATTTGGTGTTCTTATGTTTTTATATTTATTATATAAATACATTTTCCAAATAATTTAAGTTTCACACTTATTTAGACTACATTAATTTTCACTGTATACTATAAAACAAATTCATTAAATACTAGTTGAGTATTACTAGATTCAAAAACAAAAATATATATGCTCATTAAAATATTTAATTTAAAAATTAAAATTGTTGAAAGTGTATTCTATAAAATTTAATTTTAGGTACTCTTTGAAATTGCTACTGGATTAAGAGCACAAGACAGTACGAGAAATCCTAAATATTTAGTAAGTTTTATTTAAAAAGTTGTTATACTATTATTGTAATTGGTAATGGTTGTTTAAAATTTATTATTAATATTTTAGAAAGACTATGTTGAGAATTATAATTTACAAATTTCAAATATTGCTGATAAGAAGGCAGGACCTGACGAAAAAAAAGTGTTTGAATTTCTCATGTCTATTGGCAAAAACTGTGTTAGTTATAAACCTAAAGACCGTCCAGAAATGGAACAAGTGTTCAGACAGTTGGAGTCTGATATGCTACAAAAAAAAATGTTATGTGAGTTACAGATGTTTAATTATTATTCTAGTTAAAATAATAATTTTTTTAAAGTAATAAATAAATAATTAATTAAAGCTACTAGTAGTATAACTACATTTCGTGAGATACCAAAGGAAAAACAATCAACACCATCCAAGGAGCTGTACACTGTAAATTTTTACTTTTCAGTATTAAAATAACTATTTGCATGGAGTTACTAACAATTATTAACAACTTAATTGGTTAAAATAAAAAAAAATATTGCTTCAATCTATTTATGTGTGTACTTCTAATTTACTGTTGAAATCACCCGTTAAAATATTTAATTATACTTCAAAAATAAATCATTGAACACTGATTAATTGAATAAAAGTAAAAGGATTAATCATTACCTGAAGAAAGAAGTTTTATAAAAACCTAATAAGCCTAAAACTAAAGTAATATAATATTTATAAATTTTAATATCTAGTTAAAAAAAAAAAAATAGTTTTTACTTTCAATGTGTTTTAGATTTAGTTAAAAAGTACTAAAATTTCAAGTTAGATTCTTTAATAAATAAAACTATGTAAAAGTTATTTAACAACAATTTAAAAATTAGACTTTCAATTAATAGTTGAATAATTATAATAAAATAGCATTTTAAATTTTTACCTTTGTAAAATAATATTTCCATAAATTATATTTATACGTTAAAAAAAATATTTTATGTATTTTATTTTTGTTACGTTATTTTACAACTAAAATATGTATACTTGAATCCATTTGATTTATCGGGAAATATTTTTATTTGTGAATTGTAGTTATCAACCTATCTAAAAATAATTTTGGGTTTTGATTTGAAAATCATATAGTAAAGAGTATAATATGAAACATGCTAAATAACCTATTATAACATAAAATAATAAATATATATATGTATGTAATCATATTACAAATTTGAATATGTTTAATAAATAAACCTCATTTGTTAATTACTGATATGTCCCAAATATAGGCGTAACTAGAGCTTAGCTTAACTAGGCCTATGTCCCCATACCTTAATCTAATAATTTAAATACTAATATAATTTGTCACTATTCAATACTATAGTTTCAGTTCAAATTTTAACAATAAGATAGGAAGATGAAAAAGCATCACTTTGTGAACCAAGTTTTTATTTTTGATATTCCTAAGTAAAATAAAAGCCATTCTAAACTGAATTACAAGAATTGTCAAACTTAATAATCATTTTGTATATTAAGATTATTGAGGTTAGCTTTTATCTTAATCTCAACACACAAAATTCTGAAATTCATTATTTTTAATCTGAGAGGGATATAAAAATATTTAGGGATCTAAGTACACTGAAGCCCCCCTTTATTGCACTATGGTCCTAATTAAGTTGTTATAAATTAAACTTATACCAAATAAAACCTAAAAAAATTTTAATTATAATACATAATTCATTTTCAATATAATTAAATTATTTTAATGCAGAATCCTGTTGATGGAAATGAAGGCATAATTATACCTTCAATTGAAAAAAATGACAATTATGAAAAATCACTAACTTACTCAACTTCAACTGAATCTGAATTTACTGAAGTATTACATTCCAACAATAAATTTCTACCTGAATGTCAGTTGACCGATGAAAAGAATAATGATATGACTATCAAAAATAAAGCTTTAATTAGTAAGCGAAATAATTGTGTAAGTAAAAAAAAAAAGGCAGTTAAAACTCTTTAGTTTCAAATAATATTAATTGTTTCTTGCTTCTAAGAATTTTAAAAAGTAGGTTATTGATTTAGTAATTTATTGTTTTCATTAATTTTCTTAGGATATTTTGAAGTTAGCACATTATACCATTTACATTTTTTATTGTATTGGTATTGTATGTCTGTATTCAAATCTGTATGATTTAGAGAGTACAAATTTTGTTGTAGGAAAACTATTAAAAGACCCCTGTTTTTCTGCAGTAAAGTACTTTTTATAGTCTCTAGACAATTTTACTTTAGTGGTATTAGAATACATTTTCTTTATTGTTAATTTTTATATTCTATCACCAATCGTTTTTTTAAATTTCTATTATAGTTTAATTTTTGTTTGAAAATCTTTAAAGATGTTGGTTGTATCAAACAAGTAATATAAATAATATAATATAAATAAGTATGAAAATGTTTAGTTTAGTTTATTAGTTTTGAACATATTACTTTTCTATTATTCTTTGTGACCTAATACCTTCCAGTTATGGTTTGAGAGGACTTAAATAAATTCCGTTCCTATTTAGACTTCATCCTTTAGATGACTACTACTTATATAAAGCAGGTTTAATATACCAACACTTTTTATGATTAAGATTCAATCTGTATTTTATTTCCTGTATTTTTAATGGCACCATTAAATGTTTTAATTTAATTTTCAGCATATGTTTTTATTCTCCTTACTTCTTTAAAAATGTCTATCCATGTTCTTTTTTACATTAATAAATTTAATGTTTTGTTTGTTTTAAGTTCTGGTAATTTTTAATTCTGTTGTATAAGGAAATTTGTTGGTTAGGTTGCTTTGGTCTAGTTAATAGAGATACAACAGAGAATATTCTAATTATAAAGTTAATAGCATAATATTATAAGTTAATAATTATATCTGTGATATTTGATTTCCCTAGTTGACTATTTATTAGAAAATATTTAAAAACATTTGAATGGTTTTATAAATGTATAACTTTGTTTTTATTAGACAACTGTAGGTTATTCATTTTATAAGCTTTAATCATATAATTTATAGGAATTGAGGGAGAGCATCGTAGCTGAGTGAAGTAAGGTGGCTTTATTTAAATACAGTCATTATTTGAAATCCAACTTTCGGTGGTATTACTTTCTAAGTGGGGAATGATTTTCTTAAGATAATAATCCGATAAACCATCACTGTCCCTCTTTAACTGGTTATTTTTTAGCAAAAAAAAATTATCAAGTAAAAAGTAAAAAAATATTTTGAAAAGCTTATGCTTATTGTAGTGCACATAAAATTTGAAATTTCTATACTTATAATATTTAAATAATGTTCTAAATATCTATTTTCTAGAATGATTGGAAATATATTTCTGAAGAAAAAAATGAATTACCATTAGTGACAGAATTGCTTGAACAGTCAAAAGAAAATTAAAGAATACATTTTTTTTTTACCGATACATATTATATATTTTATATTTTATCATATTTTTATATTTTGTTTATTTTTTTTTAAATATTTATTCTTTTGAAGTATTAAATTGTAATATTTTATTTTACTTGGTAGTCAATTTTATCATATTAACATTAATCCTTAATTTATATACATTTTAAACCAATATTTTACTTTTAAACAATTGTATTTATTTATAATTTTATAAATATTTCATGATTTAAATAAACTTTGATTAAATTAAGTGTATAATTTTTCTTTTATTTATTTCACAAGTAAGTTTCCATTATTGTCAATTATATTTAATGAGGCAAAACCATAAATAATAAGATTTTTATTTGCAAATGCATATGTTTTTACTTTTAAAGTATTAAAAAGCATATTTGTGACAAGTTTTTTTTAACTTAAAACCAAATACAGTTTAAATATTCAAAATAATGAATTAAGTAAAATAAGTTCATATTGTAGTTTATAATCATCAAATTGTAAAAGCCACAAATCAAAATCATAAATGAATACTCTATACTTAAATAAATTAGAATTTTAATTATCTTGAGAAAGAAAGGTTGCAGAAAATAATTGAAAAAAATCCTAGGACGGCAAATTGGTAAACACTGCACTGCATTGTTATTTCTTTATTCATATTTACTGTTTTTTTTTAATAAAAACATGGCGTAATAGATATGCAATAGTATTTACACTCCAGTAAATAGTATGCTGTGGCTGTTGGAACGGGTTTTTATAAAAAAAACACTGAATAACCCGACTTCACCCGTGTGCAGTTTTTTGTGTTACTTTTGTTTAACTATTTATTTTATGAGTTTTATATTACAGGTTGCTTTTAGACCTGTTGACCCTAGACTGTCCGTATATTGTAACAACCAGAAATTGGCAAAAAATTATTATATTTTAATATTTCGAAGACAAATTGTAAAATGTAATTCTAACCGGAGAAATATTGAAATAAAATATGCCTACAAAATTATAACTTATAGTATAGATTTTTAGTTGAAAAAAATGTTTTACGTATTATTATTTCTATTATTAGCATTATTCTTATAATTATTAAAATTGTTATTATTATTTATTAGATCACCTTGATTTATTATAAATAGCTAAAAACACTAAAAACAGAATCAATGACCTGTGGTCGTCGTTATTATTTTAAAATCGGAATATAATATAATATGTTATCGATAAAGTGTTGAATATAGGCATTAATCCGAGACATATCAACCATCGGTAGTCTCATTAAATGTATTATTAAGCTGACAGAAAATAACATAATATTATATTATTTAATAATAAAACATAAAATAATAGAGTGCATTATACAATTATATTATGGTACCTAATCTAATCGATACGGTTATACACAATAATAATGTATTTTTGTTTTAGCCAATAAATATTTAAATTACAAAATTATATACTTATTTTATTATCATATCAAAATAAAAAAAGTCATTCGGTATGTTCGATAAGCTTAGATTTAGGGATTTCAAAACCTGGCATCCCTACCTATTATTATCATCCAGTTCGAGGACCAAAGAGACGAAGGACGAACTTCCACCACCATTATTCAAATAATAAATTTATATATTTATACAATAAAAACTCGGTTTTTCTATACATAATGAGTAATGAGTATTTAAAGGTAAATTAACATGAACAACTTTGGGGGTGCTAAGCACACCCAAGCCCCAAGCCTCCCCAAATTGCGCGTATGCTTACTATCCATTTAAAAAGTACTATTGCTTCATTCGTAATTATTTGTTTTCATTTTAATATACTTATTCACAATGTTTAATATTCACATAAAATTTCCTTATGACAGTATCAATTATATCATAATATAGTAATATAACTTTTATGGAAGATTTTTAACTATTGTAAATATTAATAAAATTTCAAATTGTATGTGAAATATTGGATTTTATTATTCTCATAATTAAACAATATTATGACAGTGATCATTTGAGTAAAATATTTGTATTATATCATAAACTCTCCAGAAAGTGTATTTCGTGTAACTATTTTTAATAGAACGTTGGATTTATTAATAAATCAAATAAAAATGAAGAAAGAAAACTATTAGTCTTTGAAAGGAAAATGTTTGTACCAGTGAGAGACAAAGAAACAAGAAAGTGGAGAATTAGAAAAAATAATGAACTAGAAAGTCTATTAAAAAAAAAAAAAAAAAAAACAGTAAACACAATTAGAAATTGAAGACTTAAATGGGTCAGACACGCTAGTCGAAGCTAGAACAACATAATAAGGATGACCATAGACGAGAACCCAGTTGGTAGAAGACCATTGGGGAGACCCAATTGAGATGGGAAGATATGGTAAAAAGAGACGCGGAGGCACTGAATAGTGTTCCTGATTGGACAGTACGAGCATTTGATAGGGAAGAATGAAGAATTGGATGTGTGACGAGATGGTATTAATGGCCGACAAACCCCAAGAAGAAGAAGAAGAAGAAGAAAAAAATATGTTTTTCAAGTTTTCATGAATTAATGCTAAATTTCACATGTTTACAACCATCTTTCTTACATAAGTTAGTCCTCCTTCTTCCAAATTTGTAAAACTAAAGGCCTGTTAGATTATTTTTCCACGGACAAAGTTCTGGTTACGCTACTAGTCCGGTCACTAAAGTGGTCGGGACAAGCAAATTCGGTGGCGCGATACACACACCGTGTCTGTGTCTCGTATGTACGCGTAAATTTATAACAATATTATCTAGTCGCACGATTCTTTTCAGGCGCAAACAGGGTTTCTAGCAGCTATAGCATTTAAAAATAATGAAAATAGTAAGTTTTTTTTTCAAAATAATGAGTTAAAGTTTCATCTTATTAATAAGGATAGAATAACAAATTATATTAGCACACATCTTTAGGTGACATCAAAACTAAATTGTAATAAAAATACCATCGATATGAATAAAATACTTATATTATAATGACAGTAAAATAAACAGCAAATAGTAAATATCAATTAAAACATATGTACATAATATGTATATAATAACATGATTATTATGATAATATAATAAACAAATGAAAATGAAAAATTAACTGAAAACTAAAAACATAATATGATTTATTGTTATAAAACAGCTTAGGATGGTTGGTAAATTTTAATTTTTGCGTTGTTTTTTTTTTCGATAAATGAGGAAATAAGATTGTTTTTCCTTTTTTCAATTTTTTTTTTTTTTTAATTAGTGCTGAAGCTTCTTCCTTGAGTTTATATCCTTTTTGAAGAGTTTGGCCTCTTTCTAACATTGGTTATGCTATCTGTATTTCATTGAACTATTTTTTCATTGTAGCATTCTTTAATCTTAAACTAGCTTCTTCCATCATTTTTTCAGTAACATTTTTCTGAGAAATTTTAATTTTCTTCGCTTCTTTGTATTTATCTTCTAATATCTTAACATCTTTTTGTGATTTATCAAGGTGTTCTTTTAATAATTGATTTCTTTTCTTTTCCTCGTCTATCTCTTTTTTCAATTTATTTTCTTTCTGCTGTACATTTTTCTTATTCTTAATGACTTTTATACTTACTGTATGTAAAATGTGTTTCAGTAATAAGTTCTCTGGTGATTGGAATTAGTTCAGTCTTGCTACCTGAAACTCTTGGAGCACTTTTTATATTAAGTTTAGCATTTAGTGTTTTAACTTTTATTCTAACTTTATCAGAAGTAATTTGTCTAGATATAGAAAATCCTTGCTCTACTGATGCACTTCCATGAGAAAGAGAAAGAACAACTTTAACAACTTAAGTTATAAGCGGATATTTACATTCATTAAGAGCATTTTTTATGTTAAATATGTTTTCCGAATAACAATGAATACGTGACGGATTGTTTAATGTTGTTATTAAATTTGAATCGAGTTGAAGTAGCAACTATTCGTCAGATAATGCTGTTTCAGATATTTTGAAAGGTAATAATCGAGCAACTTTTGTTATGTTATGAATACATTTTTCTTCCTTGAGCTCTCCTGGCTTTGAGCATTTAAAATGTTTTGTAGTTGCATCTGATGCGATTATTAGTTTTATATAGTAAATGAGTAGCTGCAGCAATAAAATAATCTCTAACATTGGTTTTAAACTGAAGTTGATCAAAATTTTTAATTTTTAATATAATTTTTTCGGTATTGTAACCGTTTTAATACGATTCGTAGGGAAGTAAATTACTTAAAATGAAGTGAAGGTTTACGTTGTTTAAATCTAACAGTACATCAGTCTTGCACACTCTTCTCAATACAATTGTTGTTAATTCCATTATTTCTTCAAATAAGATATAAATAAATTAAAGGTTTGTCCTTTTGGAATATGAGTAAAAAACATTCGAAAACAGCTGCACTTTCAATAACAAATGCAACTTCTATTTTTATGAACGAATTTTTTAAATGGTTTGAAATATTTTATTGGGAGGGTGAAATTATTTTTACCTTTGTGAGGTAAAAACCTGATAACAAATTCGAATGATATTATTGATAATAAAAAATAAAGAGTTTATACAAGAAATATGGAATATAAAATAGGAGATATTAACCAATAATTATTATAATACATAAAATGTTTAGGTTTAAAATATCAGGCCTTTAAAAATAATAATTATATTATCTGTAATTTTATATTATTATTTTAATTTTTTGACTGTAAATTATTTCCTACTTATAAATAATATTATAAATATCCATATCATTATTTTTTTTTTAAACAGAATTTATTATTAATTATTTATATTTTATACGATTTTGTTCAATTAATTGTTGAATGTATATTATGAGCATTTTTATACAAAGCCAATAGATTACTAACTACTTATATAGTTATATAATATATATAATAATAGTATCAATTTTAAAATCAACATTTTTTTTTAATATAACTTAACTTCTTGTTAATTATTTATATTTTATATAATTTTGTTTAATTAATTGTTGAGTGTATATTATAAGCATTTTTATACCATCCAAAGGGTATTTTTAGTTAAATAATCCTCGCTCAAACGGTATATATATATTTACCCAAACAGGCTATATTTTGGGTCGATTCGCCCGTTATTTTGTAGTCGCTAGATATGTAGTGTTATTGTTCTATAACTATAGAAGACAATATGAGACTCGGTCTTTCCACCATCAGCCCTCGACTTCCTTAACTTTGTAAAAACCACTAGAGCCTAATTTCTCATCAGTTTTCATACAAATCATTATTTTTTTCTCTCTTTTAATTTGCAAATTTAAACTTTAAACTGTCAATGTTTATTGAGCCCTGCAACTCAAATACATTGTAGGTGTACTAATTATTTTTCTCTGTACTGTATTTTTTTTTTATTATTATTTCAAGAATTATTCTAAAATACAGTAGGAATTATTTATTATTTTTATGTCAGGGTGACGCTGTGTTGTATTCTAGTGGCTAAAGGTGACATGAAAAAAAAAAGGAAGAGAATCACTGACTTAGAGTAACTAGAATCTATTTATGTATGATGGTGGTTTAACTACATCAGCTTCTTTATTGTCACACTCCCTTTTATTATTGCTGGTAGCACTATTCATGATATAAATACTGAAAAGTTTGAAGATTAAAGTTAAGATTAATTTGAAGACACTCATAGGTTTTTTCAGTAAGGCCTTTTTGCGTCTCAATAAACCTGTCATATTTTCTTTGTCAGTTTTAACAAAAATCTTATTGAATAATTAAAAGTTATTCAATGCTTTGTTTGTAAAGTAAATTAAAATGTTTTCAAAAATTAAGTGCCCCCCCCCCTCGGAACTACATAATATATAATGTATTATATAATAATGAACCAAATTCATGTGGTAGGTATTTAAGATAAATTATCAATATATTATACCATTTTCAATTAATTTTATTATTATTATAACTCACAATTATTCAACTTATGTATTAGTGTTAATTTGTTGTTCTTTTATTTGTTTCTACCATTAAACTCATACTGACTTAATAAAAATGTATGAATTCATACACAATAAATACTAATAAGATGAATTTTAAATTAATAAGCAAATAATAAAGTAACTGATACAATATTATTTTAAGATTTCTATTTTAAAAATACTTTTTATTTTACAATTCAAAAATAAGCATTTAAATGATTAATAATTTAATTATTAATAAATTAACAAATAAAATATTAATGTTCATTTATTTAACAAATATTTACATTAATTTAACAAATATGTACAAGATTTGACTACCTAATAGTTTTTGGCTTGAATGAAATGCGTAAAATTATCTTATTATAGAACCTTATACATTTCACATGTCAATGAAGATCAAGAATAGTAAGGGATAGAAAATTATTGTTACACATTTGTAACTTAAATTCAGTCTTATTAGGTGACAAAAAAAAAAAAATAAATAATAATGATTATAAATAAAAACTGTTAATATATACCATTAACCTTTTGAATGTAAGAATGCACAATTTGAAGTTTTACAGAAACCTTGTTTCGAATAATATTTACATAAGCGACCAGCTCTTCCATTACCTGGATGACCACCTCTTCGGTTGTATGGCCCACCTCTATTACCACGTTGATTATTACGATTCATTTTCCCTCGGTACGAATCATAATTACCACCTCTAGGATTATCCCATCTTGTATGACCACGGCTACCACCACCACTACCACCACCACCTCTTTCAAAATGTGAGGGAGGTCCATTGTTATTAGGTGGTTGATGCTGACCCCAATGCTGATCATGTTGCATAGGGGGCCCTGGTGGACCCATCCACTGGTCTTCTTGAACAGGGACTTGATGATGTTGTGGTTGTGCAGATTGTTGTTGTTGTGATTGTATAGATTGAGGCTGCTGAGGCAATTGATCTCCCATATACATCTGATTGTTCATCATAATTTGGTTTGGAGGAATAAAAATATTATTCGTCGGTGGACCCATTCCCATCATATTTTCAGGTGTCATTCCCCAATTCATTTGATTATTACCATATCCAGGAAATTGAGGTTGAGGCAACATCATGTTGGGAACTGTCATCATGTTGTTCATTCCAAGAGGAAAATCTACAATATGAGGCTGATCTCCTTTTGGTTCTGGCCAAACAGTATTGACATAATTGTATATAGGTGCTGTATCTCCTGACATATCTTCTAAGGGTATGTTTAATGGTTCAGAATATGGGACTATTTCCATTTGATCAGGTTCTGCTGGTGAATCTGGTATCCTACATAAGGAAAATGTTTATACTATCATAATGATATAAATATAGTTAATATTATAAACTTACATATTTCTAGAAAAGTAAATAGTTGGTAGAATTGATTGCTCTCTGAGAGTCTGTTTCTTTTTTTCTTGACTGCCACTTCCCGGTTCAATTTTTTCTTTGCCAGGTTCTTCTGGTATATCAACTAATAAGCTATCATCTAAATATCGCCAAGGAATTTTTGGTTCCATTTTATCATTAGCATCTAAAAAAAAATTGTTTTCATTTATTTGCCTATATTCAATTGTAATTAATTAAAAAACAATTTTCAATAGATTCAAAATAAAATGGTTAAGAATTACAAAAATCTTTAAGTTTTCAAAATCATATAACGGGAAGAACCTAAACTTTTGTCAGGCGTTTAGGACACTTAGACGAAAAATATATGCTCTTCCGCTTCTAAAAAATTACTACCGGAAGTAACTGTCCTCTTTGCTCCACCCTTAACCCATCACTAAATCCAGGATTAAAAAATAAAAATAAAGTAGGAACAACTCCCAAAAACAACGATATGTTATGAAAGTTACAACAATAACATATATTCAAAACAACGATCGCGTAATAATACAACTTGTTCATTGAAAATCATTAAATTCATTAATCATTTACAATCATAAGTATAATCAATGATAAAATGTTTACACTCGTAATAATAAAAAATAATTTGTAATTTGTAATCTAGTAGTTATTTGGTATTTTTGTCAATAATACTGACAATGTTATTTGTAGAAATATTGAAATCAAAAACAATTATTGCTATGGTTGACTAAATATATTACGCACGCACATGTTATTTATTTCAATAGATCAAAATATTCGAAACCAATTTATAGGCGTGAAATAGCTGACAAAAATTAAGGTATTTCTAGTGGTTCAATTTAAAGAATGTAAATATGTTTGAATTTGTAAACAAGTTTACTTTGCATCGGTCGGAGCACTTATTCAATTTTAGTAAATTCTTGACGAGAATAAACATTTTACATTTTATAAATTTGTCAATTTTTAATATTGAATATACAAAAAATATATTAAAATTATTAAATATATGCTTCGACTGATGCAAAGTAGACTTCTTTACCAATTTAAATTGGATCATTAGAAGTAACTTTATTTTTGTCAACCGTTAAGATGTTGTTTTAATGATAAATTAAAATGGATTGCAGTGGCATCATAATTTATTCATTTTGAAAGCATAGTTTATTTTATGGTGTTATAACTTACTTAATTTTCGGACAGCTATGAAGTTTTGTCTTTCCACATCACGTTCGTGCATTTCCATAGCTTTAAAATTCTTTGTAACATTCACTAATATAGATAAAATACAGTAGATTAATTACATTTTACTAGAATAAAAATTTCAGTTAAGAGGAAGACTTTTATAGAAATAGTACAAAATATTGGAGTACAAAATTATTAAATTAAATAAATACTATTACTTTTTTTTTTTAATTTGAAAATTGTAATTAGTTTATTCAGTAATTAATTATAAGTAACAATATCATACAGTTATTATTTAAACTAATTAAATCAAGAAGTAATATGATTATTTATTTAGGTTTATTTTAATAAATTAATTCAAAGTTCAGAACTTATCAAATAAAAATATATTAACATACCTCTTTCAGTTTCGTCGTGTTCAAAGTAAGAAACTTGGACTAAATCATTTTCTTGTCTCCATGAAACTGATTTTTTTGATGATTTGTTTCTAACATACACGAGAACACTTCTTAGACCATCTTTGTTATCAACATCATTAATTTTAGTAGATTCATCAGCAGCTAAACATTTAAAAAATACATTAATAATAAATATTTAATAATATGTTCATAAGTATAATAAATAATTCTACATACACATTTTATCTTCAATTGTTTCATCTTTTTCATCAGTATTGAATGATTCAGAAGAAGCATCCAATAAAGTATCTCGATAAAACTAAACAAATAATTAAAAATAAGAATTATAAAATTATAATAATTCTAATAATATTCAACATACTTTAAGTTGAGGTGGTTTCTCAATGATTGGTTCTTCTTTTGTTATAGGTTCAGATATCATGTGATCAGGTACCACATCATTCGTATTATTTTCTGTCAATAATGGAACATAATCTGAAGACATGGCTGTTTCAGAAAATGACAGTGATTCATCGTTATTTGACTGAGGTGTAGTTAAAGAGTCCAAGTCTAATGTCGAAGGGGAATGAACCGGAGATTTTGGTGGCGATGATATTTCAAGTTTTGAAGATAAATGGGATGGCGATAATGGAGTTGTTAATTGAGAGTCTTGATTTTTCTTAATAGCTTCAGTTTTAGGTTTCCGCTTTTTGGTAATTTTTGGAGCTGAATTTATTACATTTAACACAGCATCCATAAACAAACCACTTTCTTGAATATTAGCTGTAAAATAATAAATAAATAATCACAAATTTAAATCATAATATACATGTTAATAAACATTATGTATAAGATTTACTAAAAAACAATTATCTAAACACTAGTTTAGTCGATTCGTAGGAGTGGAAAATTATAACTAATAATAAATATTATTAACTTTCTAAATTGTATATTTTTTCTAAAGAATTTAAAACGTAAATATATAAAAATTATATTATATTATGTATTAAAAAATATTACAGAATATGTATATGTATATATATAACACATATACAGAAATATGTATTAAATAATATATATAGATAATGTATATATTTTTATGGTTTTTTTCTTCAATAATAATCAAAGAATATAGAATACTATGTTCAATACAATAATTATTTTTCAAATTGTGTATACACCTCTTTTCACTAAAACAATTAAAGTTATTTATTGTGTTCACATACTTGCATATCATTTAATAAAGCAATATGAAAAAGGATAGAAGTGTGAGATAATAAAAAAAAAATACACATATTTTTTAAATAAAACCTTTCATATATTTAATATAAATAAATACAGATTAATATCAGATAAGCAATTTAAAAAAATAATATAATATTTTTAAATTATAAATAAGACATAATAAACATTATATATATTTTAGATTGATATTGTAGCCCAAGTGGTATAATATAAATAAAATTTAATATTAGCAACTAAAATATGAGTTACAATTCTGAGTAGAAATCTTAAGATTGCATTGTGGTGGTCTAAATTAACTTATGTTATCATCATATTATATAAATCCAAGGCAAAATTATTTAAGTGTGTATAAATGAAAATTGCTCAACCAATGTTAAAATACATTTTTTGGAGTAGGTATCATACTATGAATAAAATAAAATGTTATTTTGTATTCTACCTCCAAAAAAAAAAAAGAACAGTATTTTAATTTTTAACTTCATATTTATTATTATTACTAGATACATCAGAATATCATTTTTAAAAATTTTTTATACTAATATTTTTATAAAATTAAACAGATGAAATCTAAGAAAATCATTTTTGTCAGTTTTTCCTCCTATAGTAATTTTATTCCCTTTATTGTTTGCAACTATTGTCATAATTTTCTTAAATATAATAATAATTTTATTTTTGAAAATTATAACTTATCAGTTGTATTATAACTTATATATACATATGTATTTCCTTGATATGAATAAAAATATTTTATTTTTCAAAATGGTCATACAAAATCCATCCAAAGGGAGGAGGGGCAAATTAAACTAGTGCTCTAAGCCAAGGACGTATCTAGAAATTTTTTTAGGGAGGGGTCCAAAACATGTATATTGTAATTTTATTGAATTTAGATTTTAACTTTTGACATTTGGTTAAAAATAAGACAGAAAAAGATTTAATCTTCTTTTTTTAGAATTAATATTATATTTTCATATGATATTATGATATAAAATTAAAAACCGTCAATGATAATTGGAGCTCAAGTTAATTTTGACTGAAAATATTTATGTTGGTATTAAAAATAAATAAATGTTTTAAACATTCATAAATATTGAAGAAATTTCAGGGGGGGGGTCAGACATCCTGGACCCCACCAGATACGGCCTTGCTCTAAGCTGTCATACGTATTATGAATTTAGGGGAAATCATAAAAATTAAAGATAATAAGAAAAATTCGGTGTATTATTTAATTTTCCTTTTATACTAAAATATCTGTCAAATTGTATATTATTGATTATTTATGAATAGGTACAAATTATGACTATAGGCTGTGGCGTGGTGATGTGGGTAATCGAGAGGCTTACCTCTGAAAATGTTTGAGTTCGCCATGCCACTAACTATAGGTACTGAATAATAATTATTATAAATATACAAAACAATCGGTTTTTCGATTTGCTGAAAAATTGATACTTTGAAAATATTAACCAATGTGACACAATTATTCTAGTATTAATATTTATATTACTTTAAGTTTGTGAGTGTTCAATATTTTAATTTATTGTTAATTATTTTCAAAATGGCATAAGGGTCGGACAAAAAGTTTTGAAATTTATAGAAATGTCCTATAGCGATTAAAATGTTTTTTTTTATATTACCGACATACCTCATATTTATTACATAATGCATAGGTACTTTAACGTCACAAAAAATAAAAATGTTGTACCAGAACGTGTCTACGTCAACTAAATATTTTCAAATACTAAACTTGACATTCGTCCTAAAAGGCTGAACTATAGAAATTGATTAATAACTCAATAATTATGTAATTCCGTATAAGGTAAATCGTAGATTCTTAATTTGTTGATTAATTTCTATAAACTGAGAAACCGATCGTTTCGTATTTGGGAAGCTGTAGGTATCAAGTCTTTCTAACTACCATAGTTCTAAGACTTGATTTTACATTATGACGATTATCCGCTAATCAATATGACCATTATTACAATATTACCCACTTCTAAAAATAAATCGAGTTCGACTGAATTTGGTAAACTAACATCAGTTATCGTGGTCGTCGTATTATACAAACGCAGAACGTATAAATTTATTAAATATGCTGTAAATATTTGTAATATTATATCTGTTATAAAATTAAATTCAAATATTTACTTTGAATGCTTATGTTAGTATATTATATGTATATACTCGTAACTCATAATTATCTTTACTTTATGAATACAATTTTTTTTATACAATTTTGATGCATACTATAGTGAATAAAGTAATTTGTCTATAATTTAGCCAAAGTAATGAAATCTGTATCAAATTTGAAATATGATCAAAAAAAAAAGTAAATTTGTATGATTGAGATTATAAAAATAATAAAAAAATAGGTAAGTATCTATTAAACATATGCAAGGACTGAGGTAAAATATATAGTAAAAATATGAAGTCAATTTAACAAAACTATAGGGCTAAGAGAAGGGGTGTCAAATGTTGCCCAGGTTATTAGTAGTAAGGCGTAAGGTTGTACCATACAATTTATCTACTTATATATATTTTTTTTATACTAACAAATTAAAAAGCTAGAAGTAGGAATACCAGAAAAATGTACAATTAGTAACCTATAAAAAGGAATAACATTTTTAGTACTAAAAAGTAATGGGATGTAAAAAGTTTATATCATAGAAGTATTTTAAATAATATGTTAATACTATAAAAAAGGGTCGATGATATTCCAGATTTTCAGTTTTTTTTTTTTGGACCATTGATAATTTTATAAAACATAAATGTTTAAAATCCCAACTATGTTAGTAAATCATTGAATGAAAACAGATTTATAATATAAAAAAATATATTATTTTAAAACACTTTATATGACAACTATTACAAAAATAATTCTTGAATTTTGATTAAAAAAAAAAAATTATTAAAAAAATATGTGCTGTTTTATTGTCATAATAACTAAATAGAATAGCTTCCAATTATCATTTTAATATATTAATTGTATTTTATTTATATATAAATATATAGGGTCGTCAGCTATAGTCATATGAGTTTTTATAATTTGGTGATGGCTGTACAATTCTTTGAGTACCTATCATTTCTATACAGAATTTAATTGTATAAATGGTCGACCTTTTTTATCAAATGACAGTGGAAATACTTAATCAGGCAAATTGAAATGTCAAAAAATACAGAATTTAATTGTTCATTATTATGTATTTATTACAGAAATAAAAATATTTTTCGTGGTAATATGGTTAGTTGATTAATTAAAGTATTTGACTAGGTTACTTTAAAAACTAAGAAAATATTTTGCATTTTTTAAATAATTTTAATAGTTTATATAAAACATAAATATTTAACATCAAAGATAAAATTACCTTATTTTTATGGGGTACATTTTGAAGCAAATGGTACCAAAACCATTACTTCAAGTGCATATTTTAGACAAGTAATATGAGCACCAATATAAAAATACAAAAATTAAGAAATTATTTTTTAAACGCTATGTGTTAGGTTGATTTACTAGGTGAACGCCTGCGAAACTTATATCATTAAACAGGTTCGCAAGTATTTAGACTATAGAAATGTGAATTTGAAGATCTGTATTTAGGGCTAAGCATTAATTGATTATAAATAAAAATGAAATTAAAAATATTAAGCCAAGTAAACAGAAATTTTTTTTTATTCAGCATCTCAAAAGAAAGCAGAAAAATATAAGGTCACCTGCGCAGGTATAATTCGTTTACTGCAAACATATTTGAAAAACGATTAAAATGTAATAAAGGGGAAATATTTATTGAAGAGATGATACAAAATTATTGCATCCGGATGCCGACATGAAAATAATGGCTATGGACAGAGGATGAAAACCCAGATTTATAGCGAGAGCCAGATATTTATTATTTCTTAAGTAAAGAATTTGCCTAAAATTAATTATGCACCCAAACATTTATTCCTGATTTTTATGATTAATATTAGTCATAATGATAACATTAATAGCAAATAATTTTATCACACTTGCAACAGTTTTTATTATTTGATACAATATAATAAATGTATTGAATAGATTTTGTTGCTGTAATTATTTCTAAGATTATTTTAAAAATTAAAATACTTATTTTTTTTTATTAATTAAAAAGATAAATTTATATATACATTGGTAGCAAATCTTTATTAAAAATGCAATATGTTACTGAAAATATTATACTCCAATTATAGATTTTCAATAATTCGAAGTATAATCTAAGCATTTTTCATAACTGTAGTATTAAACAACTAAATAAATAATAATATACAAGGTTCATAGTGGGACCCGATGAAAATATCTCTATTGTAATAATTGTATTTTTATTTAGTATGGTTTAATAGATGTAGGCCACTTAAAACTCGGTTAAATTTGTATTTTCATCCCTTTACAGGTTAGGAAAAATCTTGGAAAATTTTATTTTTACAAAATTATAAAATCAAATAACTGCTTTCATAGTTATAGATAAAAGATCTATAATAAAGTTAGTATACATTAGACCAGTGTTTCCCAAAGAGTATTCCACGGAATC